GAGAGAGAGAGAGAGAGAGAGAGAGAGAGAGAGAGAGAGAGAGAGAGAGAGTGTGTGTGTGTGTACACTTGAATGACGCTTTGAGTATACATACTGTTAGTGATCTCTGGTGTGCTGTGTACCCTTGTATTCTGTGTGTGGAGATAAGACAAACAAACAATGAAAGAAGCGCTATTGTATCAGTGAGTTGAGGTAGTTTTAAACTGGAATCAAATGTTTGTTCTTCAATGTAGCAACGTATCATGTAGAATACTTATTGGAAATTCGCTTTTGTTGTTGAATACGTGAAGCTAGGCTCAGTGTCAAGAGACTGGGATCAAATTAAACAGCAGAATTTTCCTATCCTGTTGTGGATGGAAATTGGTATTTTAATCACGAAATCTTCCTCCTGAAGGATACACTATTCAACTAAAAAAATCATCAGCAAGTTTGCTCAAAATAGAAACCGAAGTACGAAAGTCATGTACTTACTATAAGAATACACAGGTGAGTCCATTTTCTTTGTTTTAAACGTCGTATTGGCTCAAACAAGTACTTTTGAATCTGTTTATCAATTTATATTTTACGTTGCTTTTTAAATGCATGCTTTGCAGCCTCTGTATTCGTCACGCATCCTTTATAATCCCAGCGATGGCATGGTTTTGTCACAGCTAGCCCCACCTTCTCTACCGTCGAACCAGCACTACTGCTGGGATGATTGAAAAAGTACAATAGATACATTTGTAAGTCATAGTTATTTCCATTCTATCCGAGTCCAGCTTCTTCCTGTCAAAGCACTGGCTGTATAGAATAAGATAAGGGCTTAGTTTGTCAAGTCTAATTTCCAAATCGTTACAGAAGAAAGGTTTTTGTTGTTCTCAGAGACGGAACAAATTGTTTGCACCTTCTGCAGCAAAAGAAAGGTTGGAGATAGATAAATCGGACGGATTCAACTCAACAAATCGCAACAGGTTGTTATTTCTTACACAGATATGTTCAGTTGTCACCTTGTTCAAAAGATTATGTCTATGCAGACAACTGTTCTTTTTTTATTTTATTTTTTTATTTGGATGAGAGAGGTTACAGATTTTTTTTAAACTTTTAAATGAAGAATCAGAATAATATCTCTAAAACAGATCGATGATGAAACTGAAATTTAAAAAACAACAACAACAACAACAACAACAACAACAACAACAACAACAACAACCAAAATATATTAGGCGAATGGGGTTTTTTTTAATATTTTTTTTTTACAAATAAAGCACTCATCTTTGGCTAATAGAATGTGAAGCTATAAATGTATGGCTGTAATTGGTAGATTTGGTTGCAAGGAGAGTTTATGTTTGCTATTTATACAAAATGAGTAATTATTTAATAAGCAATATACCCCCCCCCCCCCACATCCCCGCCATTCCTCCAATGTCCACCTCAATGTTTGTGATTAATTGTAGCCTCAGGCAATTTGAGGGAGTGAAGAAAAAAAGGGGGGAGGCGGTGGGGGAGTTTATGACCTGTTTTCAAAAGTTGTTCAATGTTGCAATAATTTGTATTCATGCAAAACAAAAAACACCAAAATACAAAACAAAAGAAAAAGAAAACAAGCGAATAAATCAGTTCCACCTTTGCATGTGCGTTAATATCAATGAGGTGACATCTGGTTTTTAATAGCATTGACATCCATAAATACATATACAGTATAACGCCGGCAACCTCTTCACATGTACTAAGCCGAGAAAGCAAAATTCTCCAGATGAGGGGGAAAGCAAAAACTAAATTTCAATACTTAAACAATCGGCGCTATGTTATAGCCTTCATGTATATATTTCCTTGCATTTTTCAACATTTTAGTTTTTCGTTTTAGTAATAGTTTTACGTTTTACGGCACTTGCAACACAATATAGTCATATAAATGCCGAAGATTAGAAGAAGTGTTACAAGAGAGTAAAATCACAAAAAAGAAGGAAAAGAGATAAGGACGACAGATGTTTGATAGTAAAGAAGGAGCAAAACACACCCGAGCACCCACCAGCCACTCGCTTTCAACATTACAATTTGAGTTTCGACAGAATTTTTCTTAAGCATATGCAACCGATATTGCAGATTAAGAAACTACTTAAACATTCTTTTTTAATGTTGGGCTCAGTACATCTGAACAGCTGGTCGATGATTTGTGCCTACAAAGATGATGATGATGCTACACATATATATATTGTCAGTCTGTCTGTATTTAATGAGCAGTGTGGTCTAAGTACAATAAATGAGTTCCTCTAAGGAGGTCAGATTAGAGAAGTGGTTAAGGAAGACAGTTTAAATAAGAATGTGTTTCTTGTCTACAAGCTTTGACTGTGACAGCTCTTGGACAAACTGCACGACACCAACAGAGCCTGCTTTAAGAGGACACCACTCTAGAATATTTTGGGCAAGGAACGCGGATTATCCATAAAAAAATAATAATACATGAATGGCAATGAGGAATGGTGTGGTGGGGAGAGGATTTTGAATTGAATAGAAGTCACAGTGTGAGTTCGGATCATTCTGTCCGATGAGATAAACTATTTTGTAAGAACCAAAATTCTGTACGGGCTCTCATGGTCTAGAGGTACACTGTTCGCTTCTCATTCAAAAGGTCCCGGGATCAAAAACTGCAGGTCACGAAAAAACTTCCTTCTCTAAGTGTGTCTTCCTTTCATCTCTTGTCCTGTTTTCTTGTCCTGTTCTGTCATCTGCTTCCATCTCGCCCCCCCCCCCTCCTCCTCCCCTCAATGCCCGGACTTCTCCTGGTTCACTCTCCTTTATTCCCAACTCTTTCAACTGCTACTCCTGGCTACTTCTATTACTGTCAGCCATCTCAGATAAGGGCGAAAAATCTCGGAGGTCCCGTGTGCAAGATTCGTACGTTTAAGATCCCTTGGTGGTCCTTAAAATTGATAAGAGTATGCTTTTGTCGCTACTCAGGCAAAATCCAAAATCAATTTCTACCAAAACAGAAATCTCTTGTCACTATAAAAAATATATTATAGTAGAGTACCTTTGAAATTGGATTGTGGCTGCCTGACGGCATAGGGCGCTACAAAGTTAGAAACACTGTTTAATACATAAAAATCAGTTGCATTTCAAATTAAAGAACCAACAGTCGACTGTCCCTTAGAAATAGCAGGGGAACTCAAAGAAAAAAATACGCAGTCAGGTTCAAGACATAAATAGCTGTTGCGTCTTGTCCTGTGTTTCATCTTTTCTTCTTCTGGAACCACACGCTACCAGACACGTTATCGTTATTCACGTTGGCATAAGGACTGGTTCTTGGTTTCTCTTTGTTGTCGTCATTCACGTTGGCATAAGGACTGGCTCTTGCTTTCTTGTTTTTCTGCAAGAATTAAAAAGTCTCTTGTTATCCTCAACATGGTATGCATCTTAAGTCTTCTCCTCAATACCATGAGAAAGCAACTCGTCATCCACTGGTAAAATGTTTTTACAAATCTTTGTTTTACATTCAAGTGTCTTAAGACGGAACAATTTCCTCGTCTTCTGATAAAGATGAGCATTGTTACAATCAGGGCTTACAGAATACACAACAGAGTTAAACATCGTCCACAACCTCGTTTTTCTCCTTCACTCCAAGATTTCATTTCTCCCTTAGTGTCCTCCATATTCACTTCTTTATTTCACTGCCCTCCCTCACAACTTATTATCCGTTATGCCCCCCTTTACAGGAAACAAATACCTTCTCCACCATGAGCTTGTATCCCTCCTCTCTCTCTCTCTCTCTCTCTCTCTCTCTCTCTCTCTCTCTCTCTCTCTCTCTCTCTCTCTCGCTCTCTTTCTCTCTCTTTCTGTGTGTGTGTTTCATTTGTTCCACTGTGTGTTTAGTAACCTCACTGCAGTTGGTACGAATGCATGCCTAGATCAGTTTGTTCTTGCGTTTTTGGAAATATTTCGTTTACTGCGTGCCGATAATTTAAATTCCGATGGAAGTGGGTGGCTATGTTCACTTAGAATTATTTCGGCCTTCTTTTTGGAACGTTTGACTTGTGCAGATATTCAAAGCTATTTAGGTCTCTACTAATTATTCTTGATGCCTTTCTGATCAACTTGTTTATTACTTAATGATTTTATTATTTAATAATTTGATGATGTTGAGTCTGACAGACTGTATCCTTTTAATGGGCTTAGTCCATCTGTTTTAAGTCCAAATCTAAGTCCCTCCTCCAAGTAGTTTTAAGCTTTTCTCTCTTTTACCTTGGGGATTCCATCTTAAAGTTTGGTGGGTAACGTTTGCATTCGGGTTTCTCAAAATGTGCGAAAATCAATTTCTCTCATATATATTCCCTCTAGTTTCTCTCATATATATTCCCTCTAGTTTCTCTCATATATATTCCCTCTAGTTTTTTTATCGTCTTTCTCCTCCTCCCCAGCCTCTTCTAGAATAGTTTAGTTTTAGTAAGAGCTCTATGGCATTAGCAATACAATATGGTCATATAAGTGTCCAAGATTAGAAATGAAACGAGAGAGTAACAAACACAAAAGAAGGATTGGAGGTAAGGATTCTAGATGTTTGTTAGGAAAGAAGAAGCCAACCACACCAGAGCACCTGCCAACCATCAACTCTTCTTGAATAATAGAACTTCCCCTCAGCCCTGTACAAAGACCTCACCCCCTTGTCCACATAGGTCCCTTTTCCTGTGGAATCGTTCTGCAGGGAAGAAGACGGACCGTCCATTTCATCAGCTGGGGATATAAAAGTTGTCACGTGATCTACATCTTCTCATTTCCCGCACACACAATGACATCGAAGTTATGCATTTGCTATACAGTGGAGCCCGCTTTAACTGACCACGAGGAAAATAAAATCCTAATTTTTTTTTTCCTTTTTTGGTCTTTGTAAAAATATGACTGATTAGCCGAAATTCTCCAATTTCTAAACTGAAAACTATTTCTAGGGTCATATCTACAAGTAAATCTTAACTTGCGGTGTTCCAGTATTAATGCAAATCACCATGTCTTTTGCGGTTCAAGAGAGCGAAAGAAAGAGACACGAGGACCTACGTGTGTCCATTGCGGGCTAGAGAGAAGCAATGTACTTTTTGCCTCCCCACACATTAATAGGCCACCATAATAATGTTATACTTCACTGAAGATCCTAGCACGTTAAAAAAAACCCACCCCAAAATCAAAACTCAACCCCAAACAAAAAAGCCAAACTAAAAAACCCTAAATAGTGAGATTAAAAACAAGCAAACGGAAATTTAAAAGGTTTACATTAAAATGAATGATCTTACTTCCATACGCACATGTCATTTTGAACAAAGCAGAAGTATACCTTAAAAGAAAGACTTTTTAGGCAGAGAAAAATATTTTTCTCCACTCTGCATTGTATACAGTGGTTAGGCTCTCGGACTCGCAACCGTAAGGTCGTGGGTTCGAATCCCGTCAGGGGCCCGTCGTTGTGTCCTTGGGAAAGGCACTTTACACGAATTTTCCTCACTTCACCCAGGTGGGACTGGGTACCCGGCTATAGACAGCGAAAGATCTTGTCAGTTTGTTAGTGTTTGAGCGCTTAATCGGCTGCTTGCACTGTATGCTTCCCGGGAAGCTGAGAATGTTTCGGAATGTTCTATGGTCTGCTGGGGTAATAATATAGTGTAAAGCGCATAGAGCCTGCTGTTGAGCGGGGATATGCGCTATACAAATGCTATCTATTATTTTTATTATTATTACAAATGTTCTGGTTTAGAACTATCCAAAATTTTCAGGAATATGGGCTGGAGCTGGGTTGTGTTTTTTGGCATCTACAATTTAAGTTGGCCTGGGCTTTCCGATTATTAGATTTTTTCTTAAAGTTCAGAGGACTAAAGAAAACAGTTTTGTTTTACACTATTCGAGATGAAGGGGAAAACGTGCGTGTGGAACATAAGGAAAAATGTATGGGTGGCACACTTTATCCGCCCGAATGATCAGAAATAATCTACCGGGTGTCTAACGAAGGAACCATTTTGTAAGAGCAATAACTCTGTTATCTTTGGACCAACTTCAAGAAAACTTCGGAGAATAAAATTCATCCTTGTGGACATTTTTTATTCAATACAAAAGAAATCAACCAAAATATCCAAAAAAGTATCACAATCAAAAAATTAAAATTCAACCTTATTGTTCCTTTTTCAATAGTCACTATGTGTGCATTAAAGACACATTTATACAAAATTGATATTGCCAGATAAACTCAGGGATGTTGTGTCTCTTTAAATCTCCAGCTGTTGACCATTTTTCTTCTAACAAGTTCCAATAGGCCACTGGAAATTTCGAATGACACTGTGGCATTCTTGTGGGTCTATTCTTTGGACGTCAAGTTCAGGCTTGAGTTTTATCTCTTCAATTGTTTGTGGTTTGTTTCCATTGACTCACAGGTTAATAAAAAAAAAAAAAGCAAGAGGTAATAATTGAATAAGGGCTCAAGTTAAGGGAGATGTGGTGACCATTCGTTTGTAAATGTTGGGTGTATAAGTCGTTCTCTAAACTTTTCTTACACCCACACAAGGGCCACTCTTTGCCCCATCCCACTGGAACCAGTTCTCTACCGCATAACACTTTTTCCCCAAACTTCTACAAAACTTTCTGCACGATGAGATATTGAGACTATCTTGGTTTTATTGTCCTTGTCCTGAAACCAGAACATGCCGATCACGCCCCTTTAGCTGAACAGTGTTCAGAAGTAAAATTTTGCGTTTTACACTATTTTGGTTCAAAATTTTTAAAACTTTGATTATTTCTGGAATATGTTTAGTTTCTTTCTTCATATTTACAAACATGGTGTTTTTATGTTTTGAATTTTGTTTGTTCTAAGTTTTGTTGAAATTAGTGCGAAGATGACAGAGTTATTGCCTTTAATGTGGTTCCTCTTTTTAGACACCCTGTACTTATCAAACCCACCGTCAGAATATTCCGCCCCGGGTTGAAATCTCATGTAAGGATCTGCGAAAAAAGGAAAACAAATATGAATTTCTCAATATTCTTTTGATGAAACTGCCGCAAATAAAATTTCAAATGCAAGTACATAATAATATGCAAATTTTACAGCCCCACTTTATTAAGGAACTTCCTTATTTGGATACAGATGAATATAGATTTAGTTATACCCCTAGCCCTATTGTAATAAAGTAATGTTTTCTTCACCATGATGTTACATGTTCAAGAGCCAGGCTTCTGCAACTAAGAAAATCAGGGTTCAAATGCACTCAAATAATCTGAATTCTAATCTAAGAACAAATCATAACATTAGAACACACACAAAGATCAGTCACAAAAGAAACTTCAAGCGATATATTTCTATCGAGTATCCTCTGCCCCCCCCCCAACCTCATACCTCATTACTCCAGCCTTGTCATCGCCCTAACTCTTCAATTTTCTTGAAGTCTATGGCTTCCAAGACTCTTCTTTCAAGGAAAAAAAATCACGCAAAAGAAAAACGTTCATGAAGATGGCCCATTTTGAAACGAAATTTCTTAACTTGCTAGCAATATTCACAGCAAATATTTACGTGCAAAAGCTTCCCTGGCTGGATCCGCAATGACGTCATACGTTCCAGGATTGTGGCTGTGACCTTGACCTCCTGGCCCTGCTCTTGACACCGGTGACGTCACCAGTACGTTGTTGTAATGTCTCCCGTCACCGTCTGTCAGTGTAGCGTCAGGTGTAATGATTTCCGCCATGGTTTTTCCTATCAGGACCGGGGTGTGGATGTCCTGTGACGATATGTGGTCCGAATCCACGTCCACGTACAGACTTTCTTCTTGACGGCCTGTGGATGGAGAAGGTGAAAAGCAGCATGAACGTGTGACTACATGACGCATTGTTGTGAAGATTGTAGAATGATGCATGCTTGTATTTCACAGTATTTTGACCGCAAACGATCTTCCTACCCCCCCCCCTCACCATCTTTACATGCCACTTCATTCCCCTTATCACCCCCACCACCCCTCCCCCCCCCCCCCAACCCATCTACACAAAAAATCACTATTTCTTACTTGCGATACCATATTGAAAATACGTTTAGTGCATGAGGCAGAGGCTATTCTGAACTCATTCCCTATGATGCAACACCTGGTACGTTGGAAAACCTAACGCCCTTCGTGGCACACGACACAAAGCGTTGACTGGTGTCTTGCTCTTGTTTGAAGGGATTGGAATGATATGTGAGGCAGCCTGGTGGAATCGGCTCTCGTCAAAATTATCAGTGTGAAGAAAATTGCCTTTTTCCGCAGGTTTGTGATTTTTTAAAATCAAATTTTGATTTTTTGGCTCAACACCTTTCATGCCCAATGAAGAACTCATTTCTATGTGGATTTTTCAGAAAAACATTGATTGTTTGTTTGTTTGTTTGTTTAGTATAGGGTTTTACGGCGCTCGCAACTGCTTAAGGTCATATGAGCGCGCGGGACACACCTAATACTTTTTCGTTGGTAGGAAATTTTGAATTTTGCCCGGGTGGCGGCCGAAGCCTACTCTTATCGATTTTAGACCACCAAGGGATCTTTAACGTGCGCAACTTGCACACGGGCCCTCCGAGATTTTTCGCCCTTGTCCGAGAAGGCTAGGTGTAGATCTTTCCTACCAGAAGATCAGGGGTGTGGCATAAAGACAGCAGTTAGGAGGAGCCAAGGAGTAGCAGTAGAAAGGCTGCAGAAAGAGTCAGGAGCCCAGAGGAGGTGACAAAGGAGGTGAGAGGGTGGGGGCAGAAAGTGGAAATGAAAGCAGACAACAGAACATTGCTAGAGATCAGGAAAGGAGGTGAAAGGAGACAATTTTAGAGAATAAATTTTTTGGTCGCTACCCGGAATCGAACCCGGGACCTTTGAATGAGAGGCCAAACCTTACCTCTAGGCCACGAGAGCCCCCAAACATTGATTAAAGGCATAAAAAATTGAAATTTTCAGTTTCCACGTACTCTTAAGCTAAGGAAATAACTAATCTGTGGCAGGCCTTTTCTCACTAATTCTACCTCTGAAAACAGGTGAACCCCACCTCCATCTTTCGTAAATATCTCGACTTGTATTCAAGATAAATGGATATTTTTTCATCCAAATAAAGACAGGTGAACAAGCTTACAGATGGTACCAATAGCTCTATATGCCCAAAAATTGACGAGAGCCTGATTCCACCACGCTGCCTCACATATCATATTTTTATCCAGTCTCATACAATCAAAATATGTGAAAATTGAATGTTGATTTTCAAGAGCTAAAACTCTTCGACTAGAGTCCTTGTGAATTACAATCAAAATTGTCTAACACAGCCAGCCAGGAGAAAAGTGTTTGTCTTAGGCAGGTGGATGCCTTGCACAGTTTCATTGTAATGTAAAAAAAAAAAAAAAACATGCCAGGGAGAAAATGGGATGTGACCTTTTCTACAATTGAAACATACAAACATAGCTTTCGAACACTGGATTGGATGTTTTTAATATTTGAAGGAAAAGTTTGCCTTCCACTTCCAACATTGCAATATACAATAATATAGATCTAACACACTTTGTCTACTGGCTACATTTTACTTTTATTAAATGTTATATGCTCCCTCGAATTTGCTCATCAAATTATCTATGGGAAAAAGTGGATCAGACCTCCACAGTGAGAGAGTTTTAGTTTCCCAATAGGATTTTGTTGAATGCACATACGTTAACATAAACGTATAATAGAAACAATAACAAGTTTATTTAGGCTGGGTGTTGTCAGTAATGCTTTTGATTTAGCATAATCATTTAACTGGATATTGTCCACCATACCTGTTCATACTCCTTTATCTGTACATATCCTGGAATGTAAAGAACGTTCTTTACGGTAGATTCTGTGTCTGTATCTGTCACACAACCACAACAACCACTACAATTTCACCCACAGCAGCGATAAAAACAATCACAGCCACACCCATAACTACAACGAAAACAACAACGACCACAACAATAAAAACTACAACATTTACAACTACAACAACAAAAGCAACCAAAGCAACATCAAAAGGCCCCAATATGCCAAAGACCCCCCCCCCCTCCTTCAAACCTGCACTAGAGCTGGCCTCAGTGGGGTTCCCCGTGACCCGCCTCGTGTCGTCCTGTTGGTTCGGGTACGCCGTATCATTGAGATATAATTCAGAGAGCTCATTGGGGAGACCGTCTGAGTTTGGTTCTGAAATAAACAGAATCATTTTGTTTGTTTTTGATGAGGTGAAATAACATTTATGGACATACATCTGGACTATTATAATATAAAATTAACTGTTGAGCTCAACTCAAGGCTTTGGACTAAAAAGGAGTGGATAGTTGGCGGGTGCCCAGGCGTTGTGTGTGCCTTCTTTGCTAACAAAGAGCTATCGTCCTTATCTCTCCTCGTTCTTTTTTGTGTAGTTACTCTCTTGTAACACTTCTAATTTTCAGCAGTTACGCGACCTTATAGTTTTGCAAGTACCGTAAAATTGTTACAAAAACAAAACAAAGCTAAAATTCTCTTTCTCAGGAGGGACAAGATAAGTAACTAGAATATGGGTTCATTTGCTTGTAAGATGGTGGGGGGGGGGGGGAGGGTTAAGAGGGAACACATATTTATTTTTATTTTGGTTCCGTTGTGACACTGGTGGAAAAGTCGATTGTACTGGTGCATTTGTGTATGACACGTGACATTTGTGTGTGTGTGTGTGTGTGTGCGTGTGTATGTGTGTGTGTGTGCGTGTGTATGTGTGTGA